GGATTACATACCATCGGGAGTATCCGTCGATTCGATGTCGACATGGAGATCTTCATATCGCTTAAGGGCCTGCTTCAGCAACTGAATCTTCTGATTACTCTCAATCCGCCGGCCTTCGGCGTCCGCACGGCTCTTCCGATCACCCTCATCCTGATATAAGCGAACCATCTTCTCAATACCCGCCTTGTACTGCTTCTCCACACTCAACTTGAATTCGAGCTGCGACAGCATGAGCTGGATCTTGGGTCCGAGATATTGAGTGTCATATTTAATCAGGTCTAGCCAACGACGACGTCAGTCCCAGAAGAGCTAATGCAACAGACAGCGACCTGAGCTCCAGCAGCTGCAGAACAGTACATACCAAGCTTTGTGTAATTGGGCCGGGCCTTGGGCACGGGAGCGAAGGGTCGCGGGTCTGCATATGGGGCCCCTGACGGCATAGAACCAGCACCACCGTGCGGGTAGGCTCCGGAAGCATCGCCATATTCCTCGTTACCCCCATAACCCGGAGCATAATCCTTTTGAGGAGGGACGGGACCAGCCTCAGGATTAGGCGGGAGACGCTTATCGGTGGGGGAACCACCACCCTCGTGCTCCATGCGACGGAGCTGCAGCTCCCGCATCTTCTCCTCCAAGTAGGCGATGTTCTTCCGGCCATCACGGATGTTCGCATCGACTCGCTGTTGCACTAGAGGATTATCGGTCGACTGTCGCATATTCGAGGCGGCGGTGATGAGGGCCTTTTCCCGCTCGATCTTGCGGTAGACCGAGGCGATGAGATCGTCCCCGTCCATGGTGTGAGGTGTGGTCCGCGGACAATGGGAGAATCGAGGGGAATGGAACGGGATCGACGCAATGCGACCGGGGGGTTGCGGGTTGGGAGAAGGTGGGGTGTGGCCCTTTATGAATACGGGGGGAGAAGAAGGAAAAGACGGGAAGGAGGAAGAAGAAAGAAAGCAGAGGAAGTAACTAGATAAGTTACAAGGGGGAGAAGGGTGGGGAGAGAGAGAAAGAGAGAGAGTAAGGGAAGGGGGAGGGGAGGGGAGGGGGGGGGAAGAGGGATGAAGATGGGAAATGGCCGACGATCGGGGGAAGGAAGTTTGTTGTGGTGGTGAGGTTACGGAGAAGAAGGCAGAAAGAAGAAAAGCAACGGCAACAGCAGCAGCAGCAGCAACAACAACAACAATAATAGTAGGTGTCGCGGGGCTCTTGTTGACAGTTGCAGGGAGGGGGGGGAAGTCCGATCGATCGCGACGACGGGATGTCAGGTCAAGTCAGCTTTCTCCAAGGCAAGCAAGGCAAGGCAAGAAAGTCCAGGGTTTAAGCCACTCGGAAAACGTGAGACAAAGTTGGGCCCGTGGCGATGAACTTGACGGCTCAGAGTTCCTAAATTCCACCTGTGGCTGAGGCCGTGTGGAAATGTGGGAAAAAAGATAAACGGGTGTGAACTTCCAGTACCAAGTTAAGTATAGGGTTTCACTACAAAGATAAAAAGAGAAAGAAAAAAATAGAAAGGTAGTAAGTAGTAATAGTAAAAGTTAGGAAGAGAAAAAGAATAAACTCTGGTTAGTTCTTCATGTTATTATTTTTTCCTATTCAATCCATTCTGGTTCCTTACCGCCCGCAATAGTCACTCACACTCACTCTCACTCACATTCACGGTTCTTTCTCCTTCAGGCAAGCAGTCGCGGGTTCGGAATGTGATGGACTGACTGACTTAGTAACGGGATCGGGCAAAAAGTCAATCCGCACTGCTTTTCCTTTCCCCATAATTGATGGACTGATCTCTGGATCGACCATCGGGGCAACGACACGGCCGGGAAGAATGATGCAATCAAATCTATTCTCTCTCTTCAACTAACTAGATAACTGATCTGACTGACTGACTGGACTGGGGCTTGTTCCGCACAGGGTCTCTGGTCCATCCAGGGATGATCTGTTTCATCTTGCACACACGGAGAATATTTGCCCAGAGGAACAACAAAAACAACCCCAACATCAGTAGTTCTTCAGCCCAGGCACGCAATTCGGGCCCAACCACCCGAGATATCCTCGCCGGAGATGCAAGATAAACTACCGTTAAACTATAACGTCGTGTTCCCTGTCTTTCGGTCCTCTCTCCTACCATCATTCTGCCGTGGTGTTGATGGAATTGGCCCGATTCTCCTTCCTCTTGTGCCGGCCTTCGGGTGTCCACTTCTTGACCGTTTCCTCTCACCCTGCGTCTGCCGATAATACTAAAAAAAAATTTGTGAACTAAAAAAAGGCAAAAAGGCACTAAACAGTTTGTTTCCATGGCTGCTGCTGGGATCCTCCCCCATCAAAAGTATTGACTCCCACTTGGCATCCGAGATCTATGATCCCCTTAAACCCACAGCCACAGTCCCCGTGAATGACGTCTACAAAAAGGTCGAGGTCCACCCTCCCCTCCCCTCCTGTCGCCTGGATGAGGGGTTTGCTGGGGCGATTCTAGTGCCCCTTGCTTTTCAACCCACTCACATGTCTGCACCACGCTGCTTGCAGGTCATGTGCCGTCGGATCATCCGTCCATGGCTGCCTTACTAGCTTGGAGTCCTGCGATTGGGGAGACATATGCACCTAGAGAGACACCTGAAGACCGCGAAAAAGAAATGGGAAAGGCAACAGCTGAATAGGCCCAAACAACAGAACAAAGAGAACACATTCCCGAGAAGTAGGGAGGACATACGGTACTGGGATCAGAAGCGAAGGGGCATAACCACACTACAATGAACCTGTGACATCAAGCGTGACGCCAGATGACAAATTGTGACTGCACCCTGCAGGATGGCGGGCCGGTTTACTCGGATCTCTTCGAGATACGAGGAAGAGACAGCCACCCCATAAGCATTACGCCGTACAATCCAATGCATATTGGATGCAAGACGTACGTGCTCACTGTTTGGGCCAGCAGACCGGTGAAGAATGGCGATACTGCTCCCCCGCTGCTTCCCATGGCACTGATAATGCTCAGACTGGACGTCTGCATCGAGCGCGGCAGTAGCTTGCTGAACACTACCGTGGCGCAAGGATACACTGGTCCCAGTAGCAGACCCACTACGGCTACAGCCACGGCGTCCCCGATAATGTTGGGAATGAGCCAGGTCATGAGCTGAAAGGCAACTGATCCGAGCACCAGTAGGATGACGGATAGCTTCTCCCCGACTAGGTGGGCGGGATGCGATAGGACAAACCGTCCAACGGTAATGCCAGCCCAAAACCCGGCACTAACGTAGCCAACCCGTGAGGGGTCCCCATGACGATAGTTGATGAGGAACGAGACAACCCAGCCGGAAATGGAGACTTCCGCCCCTTGGTAGGCGAAGATAAACAGAGCCCCAAGTAAAGTGGGTCGACTCTTCAGTGCTTGCTTAAGAAGGTGTGTTCTGGCCGGCTGGACTGGGCCAGGCGTTTGCTGAGAAGTGGTCCGATGGAGCGCCGTCAGTAATTGTGTTGGGAGTTCCTTTTCATATTTCCGGAACGCCCAAGCGGAGAAGACCATGTTGATCAGCGACATGGCCAGGTTGATACTGTAGAAGTAGGACCATCGGACCCCATGAGATGCCAATGCCGTCGCCACAAGCGGGCCTATGATGCCACCGATGCCATAAGCACCATGAAGAGCGCCCAGAGCTGCAGTGCCGTTCACAAGGTTCGCGCAAAAGACATTATTCAGGGCTAGGTTGACAGCCATGCCGAGGCCTAGCAGGAAGAAACTGGCCACAACGGCAGGGAATGGTGGCTTGCAGACGAGGATGACATAACCAGCGGTCGTCAAGCTTGTAGCCAAAGAATAGGTCTTTGACCGGCCGAGCTTTAGCTCCAGCATCTGGGTCAAAGGGGCAGCAAGAATGAACCCCACCGCATTTGTTACAAAGATCAGCGACACGATAGCATAACCGATATTGTAGTCTTTTTCCATGTAGGGGATAAGGGCTCCAGGAGCGCTGTCGTTCAAACCCCCAGCGAAGTTCATGAAGCAGGCACTCAACAGTCGCCATTTAGTCATTGGCGGACTCTGTATTGCGGGAATGGAGTCCCCAGCTTCCTCTCCCGGCGAAGTGGGATGACTTTCCAATTCCCCGGGGCTCACAGGCGTCTGCAAACCCAGTGTGTGCTGAGAGGGTATATCGGCGGTCTGTTGACTGCGTTCTCGTCGGAGACCCTCTAGTTCATGGTCCGAGGGAGCATGAGGAATCCCTTGCTTATCCTTGCGCACCACCGCTGCAGGACTCGTGATTAGCGGCGGACTCTGAATGTCCACGAGAGTACCCAAGGCCGAGAACGACATTTTCAGCGGAGTATCCAGTCAGTAAAGAATTTCCTAGGAAAATGTAGTACGAAAACTGTGAGGACCCTAGGAAAGAGGATTCTTTCAGGGAGCTCTGGGGATCCCCGACGTGTCGGGATCATTATTAATATCAAAAGGAAGTGAATTAGCTTCAGCGGAATATCACCCCGCAAACCCCACCAGTAAGCAAACATCAAAGAGATAGGATTCCGAAGCCAATCAGGCACATGCAAGTTTCAAAATATGATACATCCACTTCAAGTGCCGGCAGAGGTGTCCAAAACACGAGGTCAAGTGGTCTAGATGCCAGGGTTTGCCCACACATTGTGCAGGAGACCTGACTCGCAAGCAAGGCCCTGGATCGAGGAATTCCATGGTGTACTGTGTAGCTGGCTTAGATGTCACATTTCTTAACGACCTTGTACTGAATATGAGCAAGGCAGTAGGTAGTAGACAGAGAGATCTAGATGGCGGGGATGGAGAGAGAAGAGAGAGCGAGACTGGCAAAGAAGCGGATGGGGACCCACACTCCCCACCGGGGATTTTCTACCGCCCGAATTTCTTCTCTCGAGAAAATCCTCCGCAGTCGACCGTTTTCGCATTTTGCTCGCGCATTCTTCAGTCTCCATAATAATCAATCAACGTCAGATCTTCATAACCTTCCACCGAACCGCTCGTGTGTACTTTCGAAATGGGTCCTCCTAGGCGCAAGGTTCTCGCTACGGCGGAAGAGACCATGTTCCCGCCGGATGAGCTGCCTCAGGGCCATCTGATCGCCCGGGCTGTTAAGGCGACCGGAAACAACATTTACTCAGTCGAGCTTCCCTCGAAGGAATCGGTTTTGGTGGAGCTCCCTGCCCGCTTCCGGTCGACCATCTGGATCAAGCGGGGTTCCTACGTGGTGATCGATGCCAATGCCCTCGAGGGCCGCGACAACAAGCTCAAGGGAGAGATTGTCAACATCGTCCGTGATGAGAAAGCGTGGCGCAAAGCCCCATTTTGGTAAGTGGATACTTTTATCGCGATGCCTGGGGCTATTACTGATTCCTTTGCAGGCCAAAGGAATTCGCTAAGCAAGCTGTTGTTGTCGCGGACGACTCGGACGAAGAGGATGAGTCCAATGTTGGCAAGATGCCCTCCTCAGATGAGTCAGATGCTTGATTGGAATCTTGCTTGATGCTTCAGGCATCAGGCCTTATCGCATGGGCAATAGACTACTTAACAGAGCAGTCTTACTTGTTCACGGCTTCTCATTTATTCCTCATGGGTACAAGGCCGATTGCGATCATCGATGCACCTGTCACAGCCCGATTTCGATATCGGCTGGATGTCACTTCTATGAAATATGCTCTTTACCGCTAAGTTTCGAACGCATGGTATCAAAGGCGCTGGCGCTATTCGCAAGGACGCCGAAACTCTGGGCAGCAAGTGCGAGGACAACAACGACGGAACTGAGGTTGGTGCTGGGGAATACGTTCCAAGCCCACTCTTGCATAGCCCAGATGAGGTACAGCAAGATGGGATGAAACCCTGCGCGCCAGAGGAGGAAGGGTGTCGCCCAGGAGAGATAGGCGAAGAATTGGTAATGAAGGGACCTTGCGCACAACAAGCCAACTGCAAGAGACGATAGCATCACGGTCATGATGTAGGGCCTGGAGAGAGATACTGTGCGCTGTCGACCCACAAGCAGATTCTGGATGAATACGGGCAAGCTAGACCCGGAGGGCCTCAGCCAGCCAGTAACGGCAAAAGCGCCTAGCAGCACAATGTGGATGACCAGCAATGCCAGGGAAAACTTCTTGGACAAGAATAGTTCTTCACCGACAAACCTCCAATTGACTGTCCATTTGAACATGAACTGTCTGGTTAGCTCAAATGCCCGCGAGAGATATCCTGCGGGGTTGTTTTGTAGGAACGGTATAGCAAGTAAAACCTGTAGCTCAATGTCAGACTAGTCTCCACGCAACTCGCCCTTGGCCAACCTGCAGCCTCGCGCGAACCTACCTGTATAAGCACGGCCAGAACCCCCAGTCTCACACTAGGACCAAGCGAAAGACTAAGCACCGTGACAACGGCAATAGCCGGAGCCAGCAGCAACAATGTCATCTTAATCGCAACACCAGTAGACCACACTGCGACCGCAGCCGTCCACTTCCGATTCATGAATAACAAAATGGCAACCCACATCGCCAGCGCTGCCAAGCCATCATTGAACAGGCGCAGGACATAAACGCTATGAAGTCTCTTGGAAAGGACCAACAGCGGGAGCAAATACGGCGGAGCACCCGACTGTCTATAACAGCACAGCACAACCACCAGCGTGATCAAGTAGAGCACAGCAAACAGTATCTGACCGAAGAAAATATCCCGCCCCTCATCGGTGAGATGATAGAGAAACGTATAACTGTATACATGGCCGGCCGGATAGACAAGGGGGCCAGTGGATCCTTTGATGAGAGTGTAATCGCGTTCACCGGACAAATAGAGCGATATCTGTTGCATATACGTAGTCCAGTCAATCTCGGTATCTGTGAGTAACAGCAACGGGGCTAGGTTAGTGGCATTGCTTCAACTTGTCGCAAAACGGCGTGAACGGAGCTTAGCTTTAGCCTTACAGGGAACTTTCCAGATGATCAGCGTGCAGAGAAAAGCGTCACCCAGGACCAGGAGCGGGGCCATCCATTTTGTGTGTCGGGGATCGAGACACAGATCGCGAATTAGGCGCATCCAGTCCATCTTGCGTGTGGTTGTTGATTCAGACTACATTCTTTTACAGTTGTAGATGTCGGGTGGCCTCTTCGTGCCGGAGAGCCAATGAGAGCTGCCCCGTTTGGGATTAGCGTTCGTGGACACACACAAGTCCGCGCGGCCGCATGTCTGCAGAACAGGTGGGTTCGTTACCATAGTAGAATTGAGGCGAATTGTACATCAATTGACAGTTGTATTTAATCGCGTATGCATAATCATATAGTAGACAGTATTTGTAGGTACACTATCGATACAAAGATGGGTATATTGCTGCCATGGGTCAGATTTTGTGCCCGGCCGAAAATTTCCGAAGCCAACCTCCGTCGAAGCCAACACGGCTGCTTCATGGCTTAATTCATAGTTTGATCCATAATTCCTTCACGCTGTACATGCTCAAGGCCAAGATGAGCCTTAATTGAGTCCTCCCCGCTTTCCTTTTGTCCGTTACCGACCCTCCCCAACCCGTTGTGACTGTGTTGTCGTCGACGTTGGCATATCTCCACTACTCGTAAAACCCAGCAGTTCGCCCAAAATCCCCCTAGGCTTGGGAACTGGACACTCGTGGCCTGCCTTGGCCAACCTCTGTGCTTCTTCTTCTAATTGTAGAAACGTAGACACCTCCTCATCAGCAGCCGGCTGCGTCTGGGCGAGCGGAATGCCATCCTGGCTGAGAAGTTCTTCGTCTTTCCGACGTCTTCTGCGGATTCTCTGAATTGGTTGCCCATCTGCCGACATTATCATCTCGGAATCGGCGAATGTGCGACGCGGGGCGGGACAGGGAAAGACATGTGGTAGGCCGACGACGACCAAGGAAGCCAGGAGCGTCCCGGCGAAGAGGGAGGACGTTGACCGTGACCGGGGATGTAGATGCGGCGGCATGTTGAAAGATGGATGTGATCAATTGAGGAGTAAGGAGAATTATTATGCGGAGCGGAGGGTGATGGTGACAATGATGATGCGTTGACTAGGTCGGGGACATCGGTCAGTTTCAGTGCATAACAACCATTGAAAAGAAAGGGCCAGTCAAACCTTGTAGCGACGAGAGCACAAAGGATTAAAGACAGGAAAGGCAGGAGGCCCCAATCACGGTATGGCCTCACCAATGGATAGCGGGGGGCGCGATAGAAGGACCACCGGGGAAGCCGGGGAGGGGAGAGAAGTTATGATGGGGAGACTGGAAAGGGAAGGGAACTGAGGCAGCAAATTCAGGCTACAAACTTCCCGAACTGGATGAATTCGGTCTAGTCTTGGCGATCAGATCTAATCTTATCTTTACAGCGTATGATTGGCCATCAGGGACAGCGGCGAGGTGCAAACTGGAAACTGAAGGGACTCAAACCGCCTGAGCTGCCATCGCCCACCTCTCTCACCTCTGCCTCCACTCTTCTGCCCCCTCCCCTCCCTCTTCCCATCTCGCCCGTTCTCGCTCTGCTTCAGTCGAGCACTGCATTAGACGAGAAAATGAGCGTTCTGTTTTTCTGCGCTTAGCGGTTTCCTCCTTCATCCATCTTGCGCCCTCCCCATCGGCATTGACTCAAGTGCCTCCTCCATTCTTCTGCCGTCAGGACCCACCCTCCCTGCTCCCTGCTCCAACTCAGTTGCTCATTCCGATTATCTCCTGCTGCGCTCGAGCACCATGAGCGACCTCGACCGGTATTCCCTCCCTTCCCACCCCTCTTACCCTCTCCCCCTGAGACCACGATAAGCTAACATCCCACTTTTTGTCGCGTAGGGCTATCGCGCAATTACGCGCTTGTCGGTTGATACCCGAAGCCCAGGTCCGCGAACTCTGCTACAAGGCGCGCGAGCTCCTAATCGAAGAAGGAAATGTAGTCTCCGTCGACGCGCCCGTGACAATCTGCGGCGATATCCATGGCCAGTTCCATGACTTGATGGAACTGTTCCGCGTGGGCGGCGACGTCCCGGACACCAACTACCTATTCATGGGCGATTTCGTCGATCGCGGATTCTACTCCCTCGAATCTTTCCTCCTCCTTCTCTGCCTCAAAGTCCGATACCCCGATCGCATCACCTTGATACGTGGCAACCACGAATCGCGCCAAATCACCACCGTCTACGGCTTCTACGATGAGTGCATCCGCAAATACGGCAGCGCCAACGTCTGGCGATACTGCTGCGAGGTCTTCGATTACCTTGCGCTCGGTGCCCTCGTCTTGGGCGCCAGCTCAGAGCTCGAGCCCACCGGCCCCAGCATGGATACCACCCAATCCACCATGCCGATCGATGACGAACTTGAGACCGAAATTCTCAACTCCAGAGGCGAAGTCACCATGAGCACCTATCGCCCCCGCCCACAATCCTCCTCCGACCCATCATCCATCTCCCCACCCCACGACATCTCCGCCACATCCAACCAAGCCCCCTTCCGCTCCGGCGCTGCCGGTACAAGCGCCTCCGGCGACGCCGGCGGGAGCTACGGCAGCCGCACCGGAGCCGTGCTCTGCGTGCACGGCGGCCTCTCCCCGGCCATCGACACAGTCGACAAGATCCGCCTGATTGACCGAAAACAGGAAGTGCCACACGAAGGCGCCATGTGCGACCTGCTCTGGTCCGACCCCGACGAGATCGACGGCTGGGGTCTCAGTCCCCGCGGCGCGGGGTTCCTCTTCGGCGGCGACATCGTCAAACGCTTCAACTACCGGAACGACCTATCACTGATCGCGCGCGCGCATCAACTCGTCATGGAAGGTTACAAGGAGATGTTCGACGGCGGGATCGTAACGGTCTGGTCCGCCCCCAACTACTGCTACCGGTGCGGCAACGTCGCCGCTATCCTGGAACTAGGCGAAGATACAAGCAACGGTGGCACCGTCGCCAGAAGCAATGGCGACTATGGAAGGAGTAATGGGATCATGGGATCGACCAATAAACCAGCCGTCCGCAGTCCCGGGAGACGGTATAGGGTGTTTGAGGCCGCGGCGCAGGATACCAGAGGCATGCCTGCTAAGAAGCCTGTTGCTGATTATTTCCTGTGATACCATTTGCCGTATGAACGAATGCATTTTTTTTCATCCCGTTTTATCTATCTACATCTGTTCTGCCTGTGCGTCTGCGTCTGCGCCTCCTATGTCTGCCTCCCAGCCGTCCTCCCATCCTCCCTCATATCCTGCGCATCTTCTATCCATTTATATAGGCCGGCCTGTGCATGAACATGACTTGTCTTCCCCTTGACTTCTTTTCGTTGTCATCTTTTCAACTACGATGTTCAGTCGTAAATGTATCGTGTTTGTTGGCTGGGACCGCCGTTTACTGGAGACTTAACATGATGATACATGCATGCATGCTTTCTTGCATTTCCCATACAGAATTTGAAGCTTTTAACTTCCTTGATCTCTTTCTTCCTATGTACTGTTGTGTTGTGTTTCTTTATTTCGGGCATATGAACGACGGACGGGATTTGTATGTGTGTGTGTGTGTGTATGTGCATCATCCATGACTGCTAGCATTTGGGTCACGATTGCCTTTTGTTACTGGTTGTTTGTATCGTTGTGTATGATCGGGATGACCGAATCCATTTTACTAAGGCTCTGTTTACACTTTACACTTACTCTGGTTTAGGTAGTTCATGGGTAGGTTTGTATATTTCGGGTTTTCATGGTAGTTGGGTTTGGGCATCCGCGATCACTACTTGATTACCCTGCTGCCCTCCGGGGCGAGCTAGTGAGGGGTTCTTGAAATGCGAGGAGGGGAGCAGATAGCGATAGGTAGGGTCAAGGCCGATCCTCTTGTAATGATTTTTTCCATTATACTGTTTGAATCGATATCTCTAATAAATCGCCCGAAAGGGTATGGTAGGGTGTCCATCTTCATATGAACTATACAAAAAGCCTGAAATGGAACCCGAATGCCAGCATCCAAGGATGATCCAGATTTCCAAGAAAGGCGAAGCAGATAGCACAAGACAAACATTAGTTCAGGCACATATGCCAAACTTATCGTAACATCGTAATTATTTTTCTTTATCTCAAGGCACTGCGGGGTGCAACTTGCGTTGCCAAGGACTGCAACGGCATTATCACCTTTTGATTGTCCCAGCAATCACACACCACTGTAGCCAGAGATTCCTGGATGCTGCTCTGGATTAGCACTCCCTGGAGGGGCTCCAACCCCAAACCTCATCGTTGGGGTTGGTCGAGAGCTATTCTCGGCTCCCGATGTCTGCCCAACGTTGGCGTATTGGTTTCCGAACCGCATGTCGGGTTCTCTCCCAGTCATACCAGGGTTCCATCCTGGCGCCCAATGGTCCATTCCAAAGGTCATGGCGCTCGATTCACGAGACCACCAGTCTTGGCTCTCTTCTACAAGATTTTCCGGCCCATCAAAGGGTGTTACAGGAGACGATGTCGTGGTTGCAGGAATGTTCTGCCCAGTGGTGAATGCGCGGATCTGTTCTTCGTCCGGGGCATACCAGACCTCCTGCTGGGCCACCGGAACGGGCTGGAACTGATTGTAGGCGTTGGTTACGGGCCGGAGATACGTAGGCTCAGGAAGCCGGGTAGCGCCCTGCGCAAGCTGGACGTTCAATGACCGCTGCGCTGCACGCACAGCCGACACAGAAGGTGGTATTGGAGGTCCCGTTGTGTGTGAAAATCCCATGGACCCCACCGAAGTGGGTGGCGACTGCATCACAGGACCGCCATGCTCATGTGAACCCATCGGTCTCCCAGCCTGTGGATAAAGCGCACTGCTTGGATCTGCAACCGGATAATGCATGGTTGGAGCTGGCGGTGACTCCTCGGAAGGCGGAGGAGATATCGCTTGATCCCATGAGCCCCAGGATCCCCATTTGGCATGTGTTTGTTCGAAAGTGGCTGTAGCCTCTGCCGGCAGTTCGACATGCCACTTGTTGGCAGAAATCTCTAGAATCCTGAGGGTGCGCCGTGCGCAGAGCCAACTCTCACCCATCTCTTCGAGATGCCGCAGGCCATGAATGACGTCTCGCTGAGCATTCTTCTCTGGAAGATTGAGAAGATGTACAGTCAACGCGGTATGGGCAATGTAGACTGCAATGTTGCATATTTGCTTAAACCCGTAGGTCCGTTTGTACATCCTCAGCAACTTTGAGATTGCAGAAGCAGCCTGTGTGCACAATTTCCGGGGAGACACATGTTGGGGAAGCGGAGAATTGACTTTAGAATATTTGAGGAAAGGTCGATAAAGGTGTATGAGAAGGAGCTGGTAGAACATACTTTTGGTCTGTCAGTGATACAGCTTAATGCGACAGCAGCCATCACCATGAAACTTACTGCATTAGAAGTGCCTGAGGAAGCTGGCCCTCTTGTGGTCTGAGTTCCTTTGGTAGATCCTTCTTCCAGGCTTCAAGCCTTGTATGCAGATCGCTGAGTTTCTTGAGTTCAGCCTGCTTAGTGGTGGGTTTCTCCTTCGGAGTCGGGTCGTAGAAGAATACAAGCAGGTCGCCATTGATCTCGCACAAGCGAAAGATCTGAGAGGCAACGGCTCGGATCCGCGACGGTTGAGTGTGCTCACGACCTACTCCCGTATCCATGTATGGGGACCATAATTCAGCTTCCTCGTTAGGCAATATATCCACTTTCGGGACGCTAATGCTAGATCCCGCCAACTGGGGCTGGCGACCGAGGTAATTAGACCAGCACCTGCGAATGTTAGAGCTCATCAAAGATCCCCTAAGAGACTGTATGGTCACGTACTTATCGAACAGAAAGCAACCCCAGAATGTTATCCGGCGTGCATCCACTTCTTCCTCGCCCAGATCCCGCGCCCCGAGCCTGGTCGAGTCAAAGTTGAGGCCCAAATCGAAGGCCATCCGAAAGCTCATCCCGCTGTAGACCCAGCCCTTGCTCTCGCGGCCACAGCCCGCCTCGCGTACCGACAGCAGAGCCAGCGCTTGTACGGTGCATAGCTTTGCATTCGCGTGTTCATCGTTCTCGAAGAATAGCCTTTTGGCCTCTTTGAAGAAATGATCGCCCGCCGTGGCAGAATTCTCTGGATCCTCCCGAGCGCCTTCCCAGGAGCTGAAATGGCAACCCAGAGCTAGCATTGCATTGACGAGCAAAGTCGAGCAATACTGGCTGGGCACCCCGCGTATATAGTCCCGATAAAATAAATCCTTAGAAAGGGTCGTGAAGAACGGGTAATGCCAGGTAAAGTACATTGTCATGAGATGACTGATCAGTCTCTCATCCTGAGTAACACGGGTCCACCGTGTGACGGAATAATCACCATGGCCCTGGTCCAATTCCTGGGCACCTAAAGATGATCTAAATTCATTCAGCTCCGACCCGGGAGGCAGGAAGATGAGGTTCGAGGTGCCCCCAATGAACTTGCGGGAGCCGTCCAAAACAAGCTCACTCATCTTCCCTGCTAACTCCGACTCGAACTGGTCGGTCTGCGTTAGGGCTTCATCTCCGCTAGCTGCTGTGTCGTCAGGGCCTGCCGTGGAACCTCTCCCTTGGCCGAGGATCGATTGTGCGACATCTTCGAGATTATCGCAGGACCGAATCTGACGAACCAAGTCGAATGCATCCTCTTCTTCGTAGTTCAATAAGGCTTGTATCAACGTCAACAATGTAGTGTTTTTCGTTCTCAACGCGTCGGTATCCTTCTTATAAACCCCTTTCCTGCGATGGTCGGAATTCGGATCGTAGACGCCTAGGGTATTGTGAGCCTCTATCATTTGAAAGCAGCATGAAAGGCAGTACTATACAGGCTGTATGATAGACAGAGGAACAGGCTGCGCAACTCGGTAGATTTCCATCGCACTAGACCACACCATCAGCTACAAAGAGCATGTACAGCGGTAGGATCGGTCGTACCTTGGATTTCCTCCTGCGGCAGGCGATACACGCCGTACTGACACAACGTCTTTTCGAAGCTGGGCCATTGTCCGATTTTGTAGCTTGAGTTCTGGTCGAAGCTTTCCCTCGAGAGCCTGTCAGGGTGGGCGTGGCGTCCATCTCTTGCGACTTCTCCGCGGAGCTGTCTTCCATCGCTGTCAGGTCCACCCAGGAGTGTTCGGAGAAAGCGTCAAAACAGGGCGAAGCATGCTTCTCGAGGGGGGAAAGAGCGGGTCGGGCTGCTGGAGAGGGAACCCAGAAGGCCCCTGCACAAAATGGGTGGAGGGGAAGCGCGGGTCGAGGGTACCGGCATAAGCTCGACAGCAAGAGAGCGAATCTGAGGCCGTGGTAGAGGCATTAGTTAGGCAAGCGCGCAGGAGCTAGGACGGTACTATTGGCAAAGTCGCAGAAGGAGCTAGTGCAGAGGAAGGATGGAGTGTTGCGCAATCGGCAATCGGAGGATGTCAGGAAGTCGAGAGATGCATGCTGGGCGACTCACAGATCAGTCCAGTCAGTCAAGCCGAGATTGAACCACAAAAAGAATTAGGCTACCCCGCGACGTGCAGGAATGGGTTGACGAAATGACCCGCAAGTGGAGGCGACGGATTGCTCTGGGTAGAGAAGATGGAACCGGGGAGGGGGTTTGTACGGGGTAAAGCAATGAGCATGGAATGAATGGAAATCGACGGAGGATGATAAGAGGAGATGATCTGGACGGAATGATTGGACAATGCTGGAGGGGGGGTGTTAAGTAAAAAGGAAGAGATAGCGAGTCTGTGCAACTGCGCGCCGGCAGCTCGACGATCTGGCCCGGTTGGTTGGATGTGCGGCGATAAGAAACGGTGGATGACTAATGCGCCCTTCCAGAGTTAACTTTATAACTGGCAACAGTTAACTATGAAAGAGGGTACTGTGGAAACATGAATGTCAGTTAGGCATTGGGCCAAATTATAGTGATGATCAACAGACCATGATAAATACTTGGTTATCTATTAGTCTTCGTCCATCTTAGAGAGTTCTGCGTGGAAATGACTAGTACTTCCCACTGGTGTTCATATCTGCAAGATAGTCAAGATATGCTTTCTTTTTCTCTATTCTGCCTATCCGACATATCTTATTGGAAGAAAGCATAACATCCCACTGTCGAAGGAATGATTTGGGTCGTTTCCGGTCGGCACCATCGCAGTTGTGTCACATGGCCCTCCATGCTTCATATTACAATCTGACCAGTTACAAGTAGTTAGTTACAAAGTACCGCTGGTTGGTTACTACTGAAAGAGGTTTAGTGTATGTGCCTGATCTATAGAAAACCTTGATGCTTGACCTGTGTATCGCGACGGCCGATGTAGTCCAAGAATCCTGGTTTATCCCGTCGCCATGCATGCCGCTTTCCTCGATAGGCTCCAGGTTATCGTCTAGCAGATAAAAAATTGCGTTTCCAATGGGCTGGCCAATACTGATGCGGTCTTCCAGGCAGTCCGGCAAGGTTACCCTGTACATCGTCGTCAGGGTAGTCCCCTCGGTAGGACCGTACCCATTGCACAGGTTTCCTGGAGGTTCCTTCTCCAGGACAGATCGCAGCGCTCGTGGATTCGCTGCCTCGCCAGCTGTTATCACATGGCGCAAAGCACGAAATGCATTGGGGGCTGTCGACGCAATAACATTGAATAGGGCCGTTGGGATGATCATCACGCTCGCTCGGGTGTCAGTCAAGAAGGCAGGAAGACGGCTTGGGTCGGTTGCGACTCCCTTTGGCAGGACCACGATAGTCCCCCGGGCTATCAGCGTGGCCCACATTTCAAACAGACTCAAATCGAACCCAGGATTGTTGAATGCGGTCACGCGATCGGTATGTGACAGCGGGGTCATGTTGTTCTCCATTGCCAAATGGAGGATGCTGCTTGTCTGGATCTGAACGGGTTTCGGCTTTCCCGTGGACCCCGATGTAAAAAGGATGTGACTGCGTCCGTCCTCTTTCTAGGGACAGTCTTTCTGAGTAACCAGGTGACCATCGTGGCGGAATAGCGCGGGTTCGAGGTGTTCCATCGGGTAAAGGTCGAAGCCTTCATAACGATTGGTACACAAATCCTCAATGATCACTCGTCTGATGGCAACATCACGAAACAATTCATAGATCCGCTTCGGGGGCTGGTTAGGCTCAAGAGGGACGCATGTTGCACCGACGAGACGGACGGCCACTTGGGCCACCACTTGACCCAGGCCAGGGTTGAGAAGAATACCGACGGGCTCTTCCGCCTCAACCTTGTCTTTCAGCTGAAGACTGTCCGCCAGGCATGTGGCACGGGCTAGCAGTTGCCCATACGTGAGGGCTTGAGGCCCGTCCAGCACGGCCATAGCGCCTGGATGCTCTTGAGCATGTTGCTCCAGAACTCTTTCCATCATGGTATAGCAAACCATTGTGAACTCCATCAGTTGAACTGGACTCTTCTCTTAGCGGAAAGTTGGGTCCAGTTCAGAAGTTAGTGACGATGTCTGGACTGAGCAGGTACATGCAAATGGAGGGTTTGATGAAATATGTATTGATTGAAAATCAAACGTCTCGATGCTTTCATTTGTGGTTTCTTCCTGCGGGCAAACAGGAGAGCAGCAAGGCAAGTACTTATCATAAATCCACGGCACCCTCCAAACGGCATCGCCGTTCAAAACGTACTCCGCTAAAGTCGCTCGGGGTGTTTTTCTCCACGGCAGTCCAACATCAACCTCGCAATTCCGCGGCCAACTGCCATGTTCGGAACGACAGCGACCCGATTGCCGTCCCATGCGTGGACGACGGGTGGCTGAGATCATCACTGGTCGCGACAAGGTGATGTATTCGACAAGAATTTGTCACTGCAACTCGCCGGATCCAGCAGGTGGACGAACTTTTGACTTTCAACTCGTCACGATGGCCATTCTTCTGACAATCTCCTGGCCCGCGCATGCTGATCAATGAAGGTTTACTCCACAAGAGAATAAGAGATCCGGTGCAAGGTGACAAGAAGACAAAAGCCGTCCAAAGGAGCATGGCAATCAATTGATCATTGTGTATAATCTGATCTCAGATGTGAGTCAATGCATATGCATAATTCTCGTCAGATGAGTGGGTCTGATGGCTAGATCGAGATGTCATGTAGCTATATTGTTGAAAAGAGGAATCATTGATATCATAGCATTCCATGTAAAGTTTGACCGACGACTGACAGAGAAGACTTTCATTTGCTGTCCATGCCACCTGCATCCCATATTGCGAATGGATCCCCTTGGGAAGCGAGAACGAGGGTTTGGGTCATATCCCGCAAGCGTCGGCCGGACGTTTGTCACTCATGGTTTTGAGCATTTCCTTTTCAAGACGCCCACTGGGTGCTACCCACCATATGCCAGCCAGTGTCGTTTTGTTTGTCCAGATCGACGTGCCCCAAGGACAGCAAAGACACACATTACCATGGATAGGAACAAGTCCCAGGCTTCCATACTTTGACTTATAAAGCCTCACCGACAGACTTAATCAAGAAATCAACTGCCCTTTGCACGCGTGGCTTCACCTGCCTGCGAATCAGTGGAATAAACGCTATACCTGAACCCACACGATGCAGCTCCCGCCCTCATTGACTGCGGCCCTGCAGTCGGGCATCGCCAAGCGACGACAGCAAGGCCAATACTTTGAAATGAGCCCTCCTGCCACTGAAATGGGCATGGTTGATTTCGGGTCCAACGACACGCTTGGCCTCCGATCCAGTTCCTCCATGCACAAAACCTTCCACGGAGAATTAAAAAAGAGCCCTGAGTTCGTTATCGGAGCTGGCGCGAGCCGATGCCTCGGTGGTTCACCAACGAGGTCACGAAACTGGAGAGACTACTAGCCGACTTCCACCACGGCAAAGAGGCTGTGTTCTTCAACTCAGGATACGAAGCCAACGTTGGCATATATAGCACCTTGCCTCAACCGGGGGATGCCATTATCCACGATACCATGGCCCACGCGAGCATCCGTGATGGGATCCGTTACGGCCGTGTGTCTATCGTGAAAGCTTTTGCACATAATAATCTCCAGTCGCTAGATGATGTGCTTGAAAAGGTTAAGCTCGGCTCGGCCGATATTAGCTGCGGGAGAAGAACGGTGTTCGTTGCTCTGGAGTCATTTTATAGTATGGAAGGGGATATCTCGCCCATCCCGGAGATTCTTTCGCATGTTAGATGTGCCCTACCGGCTGGCAATGGGGTGCTCATAGTTGATGAGGCTCACTCGACGGGTATTGTTGGACCCAACGGCTCAGGATACATATGTCATTTGGGACTGGAGAAGGAACCCATCATTTCAATGCAGAGCTTTGGCAAAGGCCCCGGTGCCTTGGGTGGTATGTGTCCTTCAGCTTCCTGCCTCCGTCACTGGCTAGCTTAACGTGCACCAGGTGTGGTCATTTGCGATCCTTTGATCAAAGAATACATGGCCAACTTCGCACGAGGCCTGATGTACTCGACCGGGCCTTCCTTCCCCACAATCGCCGCCATCAGAGCTTCGATCGCCACCCTCAGCAGCGCAGACGGGGAGCAGGTAAGAACACTAGTGATCAAACCCTCCAATATATATCCCAAGTCTAATTAGTGGTAACTATGAATAGCGCCGCCAGAGGCTCCGCGCAAACATCAGAATCTTCCACCAGCTCATCCTCATGCATCCATGGCGGCAGGCTCTATCAAATTCTGGGGTTCTAAAGTTCCCCTCCATTGAGCAGACGAAGAACGATGAGGTGTTCGTGGCCATCATCCCCATCATCACGGAGCAAGGACAATGCCACAAATTACGGCAGAGATTGCAGGAATACAGGTTCCGAACCCATGCAGTCCGATATCCCGCCGTCCCAAAGGAGGAAGAGCGTGTCCGCTTGATGCTGCACGCGGATAACCAGCCGGACGAGATCAGAGGCTTTGTGCGTGTGTTGATGGAATGGGGCTGGGAAATGATGCAGGTTGGGGTCAAGCCGGAGTCTCGACTGTAATTGGGCAGGACAGATGGCTCGTGTACAAATGTTGGTTCGGGATGGTAGGTTATTACGCTCCTTTGTATAGTGCACAGATCACACAACATCACTGTAGATAGTCACTACTGCTCAACACAAGCGACGAGACTCAGCGTCAGGACGGGTCAAGTTCTCATCTATGGGGACCATGTCGATAATGTCCCCAATAGATGCTCTTTCTAAGCCACATGAGATGTTTCTAGAACGCAAGGCGAGCCGAGGCGAAGGGCAGATCGTTCACAAATTGTTTGAATCGTCATCAGCCGTAATCGTGGCAAGGGAGCGGACAGGTCCGACTCGGAAGGAAACTCCCTCCTGTATTCGCGGATGAGCCTGTATTCGTCCCTTTTCCCTTTACTTTCTGTGTTCTGTTTCTCGCTAATCGCTATTTAATTGGTTATTGTCTTCCAAGTCGTTAGAAAGGGATATCGCCAAGAACTATGCAGCATTAATGTTTGATCACTCCTTTTCTCCTGTATTAGTAGAAATATGTTGGTTTCGCTCGAATCGATCCCTTCGATGACTAAGGATATATAGCAGCATGATTTAGGCCGAGCAGCTGTCTTGTCCATATCTGGTATGGTTATCACTGCACGTAACTGCAGATAGCCTGAGGTTGCTTTTTGCTGGGCTCAGTAAAACCGGGCCCCTAGAACAAACGATAATGACATTCTAGTAGATATCCGGTGGGCATGATCCCATGACCTTCGAGTTCCAGCCATCGGGTTTGGCCGACTTGCTGGAGGCCTTGCATAAGTCCACTGCTTTGTACAATGACAAGAACGGCCAGAATCAGATGAGTCATCTTGCTTCACTGTTCATTGATCAACCGGAGACAGATTGAATAGAAGGAGTAAATGTTGACATTCCCAAGGGACACTTTCTGCGCTTTACCGCTTCTTTCCAACCGCATATATGGTCTTGGCTTGATGCTGTTCTCAAAAAGTAGACGAGGCATTGGTCCTCGGCAGAGTGAGCGTGCATCGGGGAGACTCCGCAAGCGTCCTCCGTGCTTGACCCAATGAGGCCCAAGCAAATGCGATCCTCGGCGCCAAGCCTTACGGATCGTCTGGAGGATCCCGGATTATTAATTACCGGAAAAACAAAATGTTGGAACCTCTTTAGGGAAGAAATCGATATCTGCAGGCAGTCAGCCAGGCACAAGGCTGTCCCCGTCCTAATGTGTATGGTACTTTGGTGATACCCGGCGAAATCAATGTTTACCAGTATCTCACGGGATAGTCAGTATGTTTGCATGGAGAGGAGACGGACAAATGTTCCTTTGTCCCGACAGCATTTCCGAGGAAATGACACCCACCCCACGAAGATCAATCTGGGTGGTTGGTGGTTGGGCAGACACACAAAAGTCCGACCACCCCCGTCTCCCACAATAATAATGATGCTAATCGGTGATGGTAATGGCGAACCACCAAAGTTACGGTGTGACGGGGGAGAAGTACGTAACACTCGGTAATATGGAACATTCTTTAGTGGGGAAGGAGACATTCTGCCGCTGCCTCTTTGGGACACTGGCCGTTCCAGAAGTTACCGTGAGCCGAGGTGATACACGGTTGTTACCGCGCTAGAACAATTCAGGGTCACACGGTGGGCGTTGGGCAGACTGCTGCGGTGTACGAGGGATGTTCCGGGAGTCGGCACCCGCCCTTACCGCCTGAAACCAACCAACCCCCATTTGGCGCCTCACTGTTAGGTACTGGCGCTAAACTGTTTGGGGGGACTACAGACGACGAGGGCGCTAATGCTGTCCGATGCGGTCAGGCGCCTGCAACTTTTCTGTTATGCGATCAATATTACCTTTGCAGTCTAGTGGACTCCGCCGGGACCCGATGTTACGGACAAACCGTCATCCACCCACGTAACTAGTACTGGTTCAGCAGAGGTTAAGATTAATTGTTACCGTCACTTTCTCTTTTAGTGTGTTTCCCCGTTATCTGCCTTTTCTGGATTTCCTGGTTTGAGATCATTACTACACAGTTATTCCCTTTGCCGCTGACTGTCCTGGCTTGGCTTGGCTCTTCCTTATCCTCTCCCTCTCTCTCTCTCTCTCTCCCTGCTTCTTTGGTTCCTTTGAATCTTCTCCCTTGTCTACTCTCTTTTCATCCTCCTCATCTTCGTCGTCTCCCTATTCTTCTCTCTGAACTCGTTCCGGTGGACATCTACTTCACTTTCCGTCCCCATCTCTCTCGCTGTCTGCAATAGTCGCGTGCCTGCATACGGACCCGGCCGTCTTCCGCTTTTGGCATATTCCGCTCGGCTGGGTCTTTGGCCAGTGCCAACACAGCAAGTGTGTTGTTGCAAATAGCCGATCTGCTCAAACTACTACTAGTAGTGCTAGACTATATCTATCAGATATACTCCCACTGGGGAACCGCCCACTGGACGTTCCCCTCCCTCCTCTTCTGCTCTCGTGCTTTCTTCCCATCCATGTATCTCGTTCAGACTCTCGACCAGAGCGCCTCGACGGGCCTAGGACGCCTTATTAAACAGTTTTCCTCTGGATCTAAATTGTGAAGATGATGGTCCCAAGAGCTTATCTTTTCAGTTCCCTACCTCCGTCTCCGAAGACATCTCTCCGTCAACATGGTGAGAGAACTCCGGTCACCAAGTCCTCCCTGGATCTTCTCCCCGTCCAAGATTTTGCGAGTCTCGAATTTCCATCCGACTCTTCTCCGCAAACCATGCACACCAGTCCGGTTGTGATACCCCCGAAGCGGGCTCCTCGCGTGACCTCGGTACATTCGCAGACCGCAAAGAAAGGGCCAGCCACGCCGAAGAAGTCTAGAACGGTGTCTCACAAGTCGTCGTCGGCCACTTTGACTGACCGGTCCGTGCCAAGTTCGATTGCGTCGATTCTGGAAGCCACGGCAATCCCCGTGCCTCGCCGGGGCTGGACTGTTCGAGAGTCTCGCAACCGCAGAAAACTGCCTCGTGTGGATCATGTGCAGCAATTCAGCAAGCTGTTGATGGACGGTGTGGGCGATAATTCGATGGAGAGCACGGGCAACACAGTGCTGGATCTACTTCTGAGTCCCCCGGATGAGGTCGACAAGTCCACAGTTGGGAGTGATTGTGACAGTGAGGCGCCATCTTTCTCCGCTTGCTCTATGTCCCTTGAGTCGACGCCGTCGTTGGAGCGCGACTACGACTCACCATCCAGTCTCCCGGCACCGTCTACGCCGTCAAGCCAGCGGAGCCCGTTGGAGCGAAAGTTTCACCGCCAATCACCTTGTGAGAACTGCATCTTCGACCACCCTTTGCTAGAAAACGAAGTTTCGGACACGGAAGAGGATTTTGTCGAGCAGGCCTCATTGCCCGATCTGACCCCGAAAAGCCCGACACCATCTCGAACGTTCCCGCGGTTAGGATCCACATTCAAATCTAACCTAACGGCTTCTTTGCGAGCAATCAAATCTGCTGCGCAGAGTGTCTCGGCCTTTGCTACTCCTTCCGTTCAGCCGGACGACTTTCTGACCCGGTCGCTCTTCACGATCACGCCGGAGATGACGGACGACCGACGGCCTCCGCCCATGAACGAGCCGCCATCTCCCGCACTCCGACGGTACCTGAACCCAATAACGGTCTCACCAGCGGAGATGTATGCTTATCAGGAATACCCACACGAGTCCCTTGATAGCCCCAACTGCCCTGTTTCCGTGCAAATGCAAACGTACCATCGCTCGGGTAGGCGCGGCAGTCGCAGGAGCGGGTTCCACCTGGCACGCTCTGAGGGCCGCGACCGACAGCTGCTACCGTTCGACCCGGAGATCCCGCCCATGTCACGCCAGCGCGAGCCGCGGGAGAACAGCGATTTCCTGCGCATGGTGGTTCTCGAGATGAACATGCGACGCAGCGGCAAGCTTCGGGACGATGTTCCGACGCGGGCCCGGATCTGGCTGCCTCCCCGCAAGGGCAGTCAGGGCCGTTATGTTCGGTATGACTATTACGAGGATGAGGATGAGGACGAGAACGCAGTTCCCTCTCGTTGGGTCGGGATTTCCGTGAGCAGTCTGTAAAACAGTGCCACTTCACCTCAACTTCTTTTTGCTTTACACACACTCAATGCGCACAGCGAGGCGCATGGATTCCGGACTTGGCTATTCTTTTTACTTGGCTTTTTTTGTACATATTTTTGCATAGATATTGGAGGCGTTCCCCTTTGGGTTAAAGGGGCATAGCGAGGCGTTTGGGAAGGGGGGAGAACCACCTATTCATTTGGAATATTGCTAGAATACACCTGGCTGGCTTTAGGAAGAACAATTGCTACTATCATTTACTTTGGACATCATTTACAGACACCGCTTATGTGCGGGACAAACCGAACACAGTGAAACAAGTTGTTATCACCACCGATGAGAAAGCGATAAGTGATAAGTAACGGAGTCCGGAGTACACTACAGCGACTAAGACTACTAATTCCGGATCGAACTAACTAACTAACGCAGCTACTAAGTAGATAGTCCTTCTCTAGCGACCTACCTAATTCATCTAGCTCCAGGCTGTTTACCAGGCTACTCTACCCGTGCAGGACTGTCCCGATACGTGTTAGATTATTCTGTATTGGGCTTAGTTAGTTGGTGTTGATGCTTAAGTGCGCCTTCTCGGAACAGTTCCGCTGGATTTAGATCATCGTGATTTGATTTGCTTTGTATATTCTATCGCTAATAAAAAGTCGAAGTTCTAATCATCAAGATGTTTCAGATACATTTGTAATGAGTTAATAGTAAGTCAGGAGATGATCATAATGAAAGCATGCGTATGACAGAAAGTTTAATTCATGTGGTTGTTGGGTATCACGCGAGCCAAGGCGCATTACTCCGTACTACTATTATAATATTCCTTGGTAATATTGTGATCATTATTATTATTATTTTGTTTTGTTGTCCCCTGATCCCCGAGCCCAACCGCTGCATGTTAGTTACTTATGTCGTGTGTTGTGTGTCATTAGGCAGGGGGGACTGCCTTGTCTGTCTGCCAGGGATAATTTGAACTTTAGGTAGTATTTTCGATGAGTCCAAAATCATTCCCAGAGTTATTTAGACACCAAGACAAGGATACTTTATGCTTTAACCTTCACTTCTCAAGACAAGACAAGACAAGAAAATAATACGATCGCTGATCTACACCCACAGGAGATAAATATCTGGTATTGTTCCACCCCACGGTCAATAGGGAAAAATAAACTCACCACGCGGAGGTTAAATAATGGCCTGATGACGCCATGACAGGTGGGATAGAGTTCACGCCTATTGTCATCAGTTGTTGTTAGGTTATCCAGTCATGTTGGGGTATTTATGTATGTATGTATGATACTCCCGTTCGTATGTTATGTTATGTATCCTTTCAGAATCATCGATGCAGAGATTAGAATAGGAGAGCTTGAACAGGTAAAATACGAATCCGGTTTTATTGTAAACTACTACCTGAGAAGGTATGATGGCTGGCTGCCTGGCTGGCTAGTGATGGATGACACCGTGCAGGGTTCCCTTATCTCTGTCCAATGGGGATTCGATATTCCCATGACTCTTTCAATATGATGTCTCAGCCATCAGTGTTAGGTTTCATTCCTGATGGATTGCCTGACTGGCTTGGTTAGATTGGGAGTTAGACTATTCCTGAGTTTGTTTGCCTAGTTAGTGGTAAACTACTAGTAGTAGTAGAGAGTAGCTTGTGGATGAATACGGGGCTAGATTGCAGGGCTGAACTGGGTATTTCTGCTTAATTTCATGGAGGATGGGTGTATGATTTGAATACTAGTATCGTATCCAATCCATGCGATCTATTTGGACAATATAGTGGCATTCATGTCCTTCAAATGGGCGTATATTCTCCTGATACTGTGAAGTATTAGGGACGCTACCATAGAACCCCAGCATCAGGGGTTCTTCATAATTTCAACCCACGATAAATGGCAGAGACGGGTGTAAATTATGTATATGTTGGTACATGAGATCTTTAGATGGTGCATGGTTGGTGGTAAGACGTGGTGGTCAGAATCCGCTCCTAGTGTGCTTTAATATAAAATCTTCCGGATTCAGTATCGCTAGGCTATCCGGTAAGAACTGGAAACGTGAGTCAACAGACTTAGGACGCCCACCCTTTGTAAGCTTAGAAGAGAACGTGAGATCGGCCGGATCTCTCAGTGGTGGGCGTAGTCAGAGATCACGTAGGCAGATATGGTAAAGGATCGATGATGCCTGGCTATAGTGAGTGTCTCAACATCTCACATTCTGCAAAGCTATATGAGGATAGAGAGGACGATATCCTTCAAATAAAATACGAGATAGTATAGAGTATCTAGTATGGGAAAACTACTAACGAGAAATGAAGATTGAATTAGCAGCAAATGGTCACTATATTGTACGGCTGATATATTCTTCCGCTCCGTTATCTGCCTTCAGCTTGACGGCAGTGACCCACATCGTCGCTTGCTGCTTGTCACTACTGGACTATTTACTAGTAATAGGTTCATCGCTACATGTATACTTGCAACCATTGAGCTCATTAGCACCCTTGCACGCGAATAAACTAATTCTGTCTTATCTGTCTAACAAGAAGCTACAATCATGTTTTACCGTGCGGCTTACCGTTTCCCCACTACCTTGTACAGGACCAGACGATCGCCTTCAGCTCGGTATTTGCATCAAGTTACGGCAGACTTCCAGAACTACGACTCAAAAGGGAACCTAGTCACTGAAAAGGTCCCTGTCATTGCCGGTGATCCAGGCGAAACCTACCTTCTGGTGTATCCAGAAGTCGGCAGTGCTTTCCGTGCTGCTGCAAAGAAAGCACACATATCTGCGCCTGTTGCGGACGTTATACCAACATGCAAACTTATGTTCTTTCATGAGTCGCAGCATTTTGGGTTTGGTAAGCAGTTCTCTGTCATTCCAGTCAACATGAATCCTGTTTATTATATTGGTTCATGAATCGATATCAGAGTCGCCCAGTTATCCCCGCCTCTACGCCCCAACGCACATCCCACGTCAAACGGAGTCAAGTATATCCCCCGCGACATTGTTTCTGGATGGGAAAATGCATGAGTTTTTTCTAGATGGAACTGCAGATGGTATATTAATACATTACGTGGTTATGATTGGATGAACTCTAACATTGACATAGCTCAGTTTGCTTATCATGCAAGCGCTAGTGCACAGAATCTCAAGCATGTCTTGGAACAGTTAAAGGATGTGTGAAGGGTACTTACTTCTTTTCCTTGCGAGCACATCTAATGCTCATGCACTTATTAGGGGTCCTTTTTTCGTCACTAATTATGACAGACATGTTCCGCATAATCGAGATCATGACTAGATAATGCTTGATACTAACTTTGATCTTGCTAATGACCCAATCTAGCTATATTGCTAGAGAGTAGATAACGAATATTATCTGAAACATTTCTAAATAGTATATTTCTACTATCGCTTAAGGCGAGTTAAATATGAAGTCTGTGTACATTTTAAGGTATAGACTCTTCTCCTTATTGTATAAAAGGCCAGTCTCTTGGTCCAACCGTCATGGTCCAACCGTCATGCGCACAGCTGTGTCTTCCAAGACACTTAATAATAACATGATAGGCATAGTAGTACACTGTCTCATGGAGATGATCCCTACCATCTAAGTAGGAACTATCATGAACTAGCTACCCATTCTCATGAGAAATAACAAACTCATCATACATGATATAAACAACACAATATCCTATGTTTAGTATATAGCTCCAACACCTTATCTCTTTCTCTCCTACTATCCACTCCAGTCAGTTGTATGCACTATCCACCGAAATCCATCAAAAAAAAAACTAATAGTAAGATAACAGACTCCCTGTAAGATTATAGTTAGTTAACCGGTCACAAGACCATAACACGAACAGTCATTTCCACATTATTAATCAAGATCGAGCGTATGCGATCCACTGTAGCTAATTAATCATGAAATGAATCCCTGTCAATAGCAAGCCTTATTATATTGTAGTGATCTCACTGCTAGTCGGTGGAATTAATAACTACCTGTTATTGATATTTACATCATAATATACTATTCTCAGATCTGACACTAAGATATAATTACTAGTCATCTGGACCAGAATAGTATTCATTCTACAGCAAACACACAATCCAAAACACCCAAACGCAGAAAACACTCAAAACAATTTAGTATTACTTCACAGTCTACCTCATTTCAAATCAAGATAATACCAGCACATCCCACCAAAACGACCGAATAATACTTTAACTTCCCCACCAAACGGCCCGTCGCGGCCCAAACAAACACAAACAGGCACAAAAACAAACTTTACAGCCGCCAACAAAGCTCCATCCAGACTGGCTGTAGATAAGACCGTCATACTCCTCCCCTCATTCATCTATTATAGTTTTTTTCGACTGTGGCTGTGGCGGTCAGACTATTGGTGGGACAGGGGTAGATCCCGTGGGGTGGAGAGGATGTTTCTCCGGTGATCCATCGTGAGTCAGAGATAAGCACAACCCCATGGCCGTATGGGGTACATATCCATCTACCTACCTATCAACTTGATCTTCATGCATCATTCTTCTTTCAGTTGAGTTCATTCTATGCATCAGTTTTAAAGCGTGGGGTGTACAACGTATAGAGGATGGACTGACTGACTGACTGATCGGTGCACATGCAGCCCAGCCATCATCTGAGAGATCACAAACCAAGCAGAGGAATCGAGGATAGGCACAACGTTGCACCGATTACTGCGTGTATACCCGAGCTGATAAATCCTTGGTGTTTGATTAGCCCCTGCATTTGGTCGATCCTGTCCTTGTTGCCTTGCTGGTTTTGTTGCTTATCTATCCGTAGTGGAGTGGTGCAGCGGTGTATTTTGCCGGAGTTGATAGATCAACCCTGTAAGTAGTAGTCTCTTGTAGAGTAATGGGTATATTACCGTCTTGTTATGGATTGTTTACCCTTAGTAAAGTACTGATAAAGTAACTGGGTGGTATTAGGCTGTGCACAGTGCAGGCTAAGATTCTTAGACAGCGTACTTTTGGCTGGTTCTCTAAAAGGCGAATATCTAAGCTTTTTAGTAGTAGCTTCTCACGATGTAATTATAGCTGCTGGATCCACTGGTGGAGGTCTGAATATGGTCGCTATTTGACTGATCTAGATGGCAAGGTCTCATGATTTTAAATCCAAGGAGTAGATTCTTATCTCAGTCTGAGTATTCTGGTGGAACTCACGTGTCTTATTTATTGCACTGACGCCGTTCGTATACTATCTTACTCTAACTATGAGTCGGCATAGTGATAGTATACAGTGCTCTTTCATCCCATAGGATGCAAGGAACATGGTGATAGAGGCCATGTTGCTTGTCGAGTATACTTGGTGTTATGAATATTAGCTGGTCATGATGGTCAGAATATAGTATTATAAATGTTAACGGCGCTACTTACTTTCATTTCCATTTATAGTTGGTCACGTTGTGAGACTTGTTGGAAGCCTCTCTGTATAGCCATCTGTCTGTTCGTCAATTACTGGCACTTCGATGTTTGTGTGTTGGACCGAGGATGCATTGAATTATTGACAACCGTATATACTGTCGACGGAAGACTTTGGGAGCATGTGACACGACACCTCGACCACTGAACACAATGGTCGAATGCTACGAGAATACTCGAATCTAATGAAGACTGTTCTTTCATGATCTAACTATACAATCACTAATATACAACACGCCAGTGCTCATCACTTCAACGTGCTCAATAAGTCTGTCTACGACTTGGATGTTATCTCAGAAAGCTTGCCCAAGATCGCGGTGAATCGCTTGGATATTCCCCACGACGAAAGACCAGCAAGTATAAGACAACCAGCTTTGAGGGTCTCCGCTGGTCCTTTCGGAGCACATATATCCCCAACACCGGTCAGAACCGCTTTCATGCCATGGCCTTCGCGCACGAAGAGTTGGGCTAGTTCATCATCGCAGGGTCTATCGAGATGAATAAACAGAGGTTTTCCTGGCATGCCGTGTCCTGCTTCACGGCAGCTCGTCATGTCAGATAGTGAGGGGTAGCATGCGCCATACGCCCATAGAACTAGGGTTGCCAGGAAGACTGCGACAGGCTCATGGAACGAACGGCTTGAAAAATCGCGGGCATGTCTTAGCAGTGCACCTGCGTGTACAACTGCCAGGCGGGCCTTATACTGGTCATGTTTGACCCAGCGTAGTATGTAGTGCCATTCAAGGGCCTGTTCGCGTTCATGCCAGTGGGACTCTTCCATTGCTAAAGATGTTGCGAGTGTCCGTATTTCACGAAATGGGGCAAGGAGGATTATGCGAGCCAGATGGAGATGCAAGATTGTGGGATGTTCGAGGCCAGCGGACCTGGCTACTGTGCTGCCAGCAGCCCAATGGAGTATATCGAGGCAGTCACATGCACTGTTGCGCCATTTGGAATACGATGGTATACCGGGCAGCCATACAGAGCCAGATGGGAGTGCGGAATGCCGTGACTGCTTTTTCGAGGTTGGATTCCAGAAGGACAAGGGGCGGCGGAAGTAGTCTCCCACCTCCCACATACGGTGATATAACGCGTGAATGAGAAGAAGCTGGCTGAATTCACCGAGATCAGGTACTAGCTCCTTCTCGATGTACATCACAAGGACTGCATCGTAAAGGGAGGATTCTTTCTGGTCTTCAAGGCAATATATTAGCTGTAACTTCCGAGCTGAAAGACAAGACAAATGATACCTGATATTCCTCTCCGTACTTCTTCCCAGGCCTCTGGAGATTCTGCCTCCCAAAGAGCTTCATGGGAAGGCAGTGTTGCTTGGCTCTCGTCAAGAGAGAGCAGAGGACGCTTGTCAAAATGGTATGCTATGGTGCAGTCGAGAAGCTATTAACGGTTAGTGTTAGACCTCCTAGACGAAAGCAAAGCACGTACCCATATCAGGTAGCCTGTCCGTCTTCTGATCTCATCGTCGACCCAGGATACCCAGCGCAGCTCTTTCGTCTCCCCGTTTGAGGATTGTATAGGTCTGTGACCAAGAAGTTTCTCGCGGGTCACAAAGCCTACCAAGTTGCCAAAGGTGTTGAGTGCCAAAAGCCTAGCCCGTTCATCACAACTGTAGAGTATTCCAACGCAGTTGAGTACTGATGCTTGAAGAAGCCACACGGGTGCCCGATCGACAAGATACTTTTCTTCCTAGAGACAATACTAAGTCAATGATGGATCACCCTGTATCAAAGGACTGTCTCACCTCAACATTCGTAGCGCGTCTAAGAAACTCATGAAACACCGGTGCGCACTCAATCTGTTCTTGGGAACCAGCAAAATGGCTACCAACGGCCGACAGAGCTAGCACCACTATCCAATGGCACTTGTTTATATCGAACGTAGGAGTGTGAAATATTGGGTAAACAGGCTGAAAATGCACAAAGTATAAATTAATAAAGCTTGACAGTGTCTCCGCACCAGGTAAGTGATCGGTTTCAAACTTTGGATACAGTATACTCTCCACGCAGCACAATTGATTGAATGCACTGCGTATCCTCTCATATGTCGATGGTTCAAGTACGTGGTGATGGCCATTCTCAATTTCGTTCGTGGCATGACCCCTCGTCTCTGGAAATTGAGGGAACAAGTATTGACGCCGGGTATTCGCTTGCTGCAGCTGTAACGACGCATCCGCGGAAGCGGCACATAATAAAGACCAAGAATCCTGATTCAGTCTAGAGCTCGATGAGTTCGGAATAGCACCATCCACTGAGTGATTTCTAGCACGCCGGTTCAGATGTGATTGGCTTGGGCTTTCAGTGGTACCACCTAGAGACGTGTACCCAGATGGTGTCTGAGAGACATTTTCTGACACCAATGAGCTACTATCAGCACCATGTATGGCGGATGGATACCACGAAGCTTGATTAAGGGAGGTATCTAGAATTCTGGGGGTCTTTTGGTAGGTATTTGTCGAATGACGGCGGTTGCTAGACGCATTACCAAGGTTCTGAGGCAACCAGTTGATTGTAGGAGCAGTGGTCTGATCCAGTAAAGGCTGTATTAGTTCCATTGGTACCTGCTGACTTCCCACTGTTGGCATCATCGCTATACTATTAGAGCTTTTGGCGGACTGGAGCCCCTCAGTTCGGTGAGGGGGTTCTGTCATGTCTTCAGTCGATGTTGCGATTTGTGAGTATAACCCTTGTGTTCCCGCGTCACCATATTGCACAGAAGGGACCCGCATCTTCTTGAGCTCTCTAGTAGAATCGTGCAAGGATGAGCAAGTAAAATTGTCTTCGGCGCTGGAAGTTTGCCCATTTATCCTGGTCTCATCCGAACGCCTGTTTTCCGGTTCTATATTGTTGTGATCTGCGGACAACTTAGATGAGACTGCGTTTGATGCATTCGACATGGGCATCTGTAGCTGAAACTGTGTCATCTGGTAATGAAAGGGCGGCGGCATCGATTGTTCTCCATTGCGTGAAGGACGCAAGTCGATGCCATTTGTCCATGTGGGCTGAGCCAAATGAGAAGCTTGGTCGTACGATGTGTCGTCTTTTGTAAAAGAGGGCTGAGTCTCCTTACGCGTTTTCGCTTTCGATCGTCTCTCGGTCGGATACTGACATTCAAGGGATCGACTTTCGCAACGTGCGCATGGCGAGCCCCCACTGCATCGTACCCTTGCTATGGCGCATTTATAGCAAGCACGGAAGGTTTTGACGGTGATGCGGTGCGTACGATCCTTTCCCCCTTCCATTCCAGCATTATGATGACTGAGTTCGTGACGATGAAGAGTATCCCTAACGACGGTGTCAGTTGACCCTGCATCCAATAGATTAAATCCGGTAGATCAGGGGCCGTGTAAGATTTGCCAAGATCCTAAACAGCATTGGGGCACAGGGTTATGAAGGACTAAGCAGGGGGGCATACGTTCTGGAGAAATGTCGGCCACACTGCGCACACTCGAACGGCTTCTCCTTTGTGTGACTGCGAAAGTGGCGCTTTAAGTGCTCTGGCCTTCGAAAGCTGCTTTGGCAGATGGAGCATTTAGTCTGACCAGCCCCTGTCGAGCTCTGCGGTGCGTCATGATTGTGGTTGCTGCCACCGCTGCTGCTGCTTCTGCTATCGTCTTTCGTCGGCTCTTCGGCCTCAGGGCGGGTCACGGTTTCTATGTAATCATTAATCTACCTGCACGCCAGCGAGCCACTACAACTGCACACCCCCTCATTTGTTCCGCAGATGAAAGTAGGTCTGATCTCTTACCTTGCCCGACATCGCTGTTCTCCGGAGACATGGCGTCTCATGGGCGGTTTTCCGTCGAGAAACAACCGAGGGAAGTCTGGCATGGCACCTGAGGTTCACTGATGGAATCAAGAGCGAGTCGAACACTGAACAGCATCCCCGGGAAGTCTGTGGACAATCACCATTGTGTCGCTCTCAGGGACTCCCGTCGCGTGGTCCAGGGGTGGGAGGGGTGGGAAAGAGGTAACCGGGAAGAGAGAATCGGCGGAACGTGGTCAGACAACAGTCTGCGCTGGACAATACTGACTAGTAGTGGAGGGAGGAACCATTGGAACCAGTCTGGCTGTTAGTGTAGTTTAGACGGGGAGAGGGAGAAGCGGGGGAAGCTGGAGGTTGACTTGTGACTGGCGGAGGAGCCTCTTTTAGTGTCTTTAGCGCCGTTATTTCCTCGCGGGGCCCACGAACCCATCGCCCTCCGCGTGGGCGCCAATCGCCTTGATTGGAGGGGTCCCGAAGGTTTAGATTAATGTTGCATGTCTCGCCCAACAATTTGCGCCCGGATCCTGGGCATTTAGACCGAGGTCGGTTAATTACGCCTTTGAGGATCGATGACCGAATGGAAAGCTGTTGGTGTGAATATACCCTCAAACAGGGATACCTACCGTATACCTGGGAACCCTGTCAGACACTACATAGTATAGTAAATCTTAGTACGCCAGATGATGACACCCGTATATACTACGTACTCTAAATCAGATTCAAAACCAAATAATTATTATTGATCTTAGACAATAATAATAACAGGGTTTGCTCCCCCGAGTCATGTAGTGTTGCCTCCTCATCCCTTAACGACGAGCATAACTGTATATGGAAAGAACACTCATTCTCCACGGTTGACGCCGAGACCCAATTAACCTCTCATTATATGCACTAGTTCGTGGCCTCATACAACCTAAACATCCACGACTCGTAGATATAACTTGCATATGACACGCGTAAAAGTCATGAAGGCAAATGTCAACACCACCACCGAAACTGTCGGACAGAGTTTATTGCGATGCATATAAGCGCCATCCGATCGATAGCGGTGCTTAGCAAACCCACATGGTGGTCGCCTTAACCATAATGTGTCATGGAGTGATATGTCAGATTCTTTTTTTCTGCTGTCAGATATAGTTTTGACAAATACTTGTTTCCGTTTTTGTATATTCATTGGAATAAGTACTAAGTTGCTTTAGGGATGCGGGAGTGTCATCATCATCTCCCCGAGTTGTTATATATAATATACTTTGTACGGCCGGACAAAGCCGATATCAGTGCTTTCATCAATTTCAATAAACTCAGGAATCCACTTACACAGATTGATGGGTTATATTCTGATAGAGTAGTAGACTTGTAATATTATTAGTAGAATTGGTACCAAAAAGAAAGACCATATTATCTGGTTTGTTTATTTACTCACCATTAACCGCAAGTAGTTATATGATGTTATGGTGAGGGAGAGACGCTAAACTTCGGACGGCCGAGAACGCACGGACCCATTAGCTCAGCAGACTTGCAGTCAGGGTGTCCGTTGCCTTTCTGTATCTCCACGCCGCCATCATTCCGTTCAAGAGTTTCAACAACGTACTATTGAAGTGTGCCCATTGTCCTCAAAGACGCTTGTTGGTGCCTTTTGATTACATAAAGTGATCCCGCTGTGGTCGCTGTCCGCCCCCGGATCAAACCTAAACTACCACTCTTACGACCGCCGCAGAACCTTGGGTCGGGGTCCCCCATGAATGGCAAGTCCGACATCAGCTCTGGATAGCCGGTTGCCTCGCCATGCATCATCGGCACATGTTAATAGTACCGTGACAGCCCTTCAAGGAGCCACAGCTGCATTCAATGCAAATCCTGCCAGCAGAGCACGGTCACCTATTGCCCATTATAGGTCTGGCGCATCACCCATGGAGTCTGTAGGGGTCAGCCACAATAGTCCCGAAATGGTTCCGCCTCGCAACATTCAGACGCCAGAATTGCCCGAAAGTGGCTCAGTCAAGGACAAGATCGGGAAGTTTAGTGCCTATCAGCAGCAGCCCTCTAGTCTGAAAGATGCATTCGGGAAAACTCCAGTCAGCATAGGGGCGAATAGGTCACGCACTCCGCAGCAGATCGCTGCCCAGCTGGCCGCAGGACGATCGACGCCAGGTGAAATCATTGCCACGCATACGGGCGTAAGCAGGACGCAAGGTTCGATGCCGAAGCCCTCAAAACGCAGTGATGACAACGAGGGCCCGCCGTTGCTAGCCCCGAAGCCGGTATGGGCTTCGAGTGCAAATTCGGCCTCGTTAGACAAGCTCCTTCACAACGAGGCCAATTTGCCGATTAGAGACAAGTCGCTCCAACGAAGGCCAGTAGCTCAGATATCTCCCATAGAGGCAGCAAAGCTGGCGGCGAAGAAACCTCGTCCTCCACCCGTGCCACGAAAACCAGCTGCAGTTGTCACTGGTCCTACCTCAGTTCCTATCAACGTACATTCCAATGGCCCAGAGAGTCCAGAGCAGACCTCCAAGAACCACTCCTCACGTCCCATTGAGGATACTACTACTATCCCTTCCAAGGCTCCGCCAGCACTTCCTCCCCGAACGGGTGCTTCGTCCGTGCCCCGGAAAGACCTGACAAATCATCGACGGCTTTTAGAAACCAACCATGGGTCCCGGACGCGACCATCGACACCTGGCACTGCATCGCTCTATGCTGCATCACTGAGCAATAGTACTACGAGTTTGCTCGACAGCTCCTCAGGGCGGGACGAAGGGGCGTTCTCAGATGCGGTCGTGGCCTCGTCCAGAGCATCGATTCGGGCTTCACAGGAAAGAAAGGTCCCACCGCCCCCACCGCCAGAGCGCCGGGCGAGGTCTCGATCAATCAAGCGATTCCCGCATACTGCCAAGGGAGAACACACAGATTCCCCTAGTCCATCCACACATTTACGACAGACCCTCCGCGAGCCGACCAAGGTCGCCGAAGATGATGAGGGGTACCAAAGGCATAAGCATCTGCTTCGCAAGCATCCGCATAAGCATCACGAAGGTGATCGCAGAAGATGGCGGAGTGAGATTACGGAGAAAGAGCGAAGGCGGTACGAGGGTGTCTGGGCTGCGAACAAGGGATTGTTACTCCCACCCTCGCACTTGAGGGTCCCCGAAGCGTATCCGCCGGAGTGCTCCGAGATGGTGGTTAATCTGGTGGCCGCTGACATCTGGTCACGTAGTCGCCTGCCGCGGCATGTGCTAGCACAGGTTTGGGAGTTAGTGGACGGGCAACATATTGGTCTTCTGACTCGAGAGGAATTTGTGGTAGGGATGTGGTTGATCGACCAGCAGCTGAAAGGCCACAAACTTCCGCCGAGGGTGCCCGCCAGCGTGTGGGGAAGCGTCAAGCGGATATCAGGAGTGCACATCCATGGTCTTCCTCCTGCGTGACGAAGATGATGAATCGCGGGCCTTGACAAAGGAGTGGGGACATGTAATAAGCCACGATGGAGAATCCACGCCGGTGCCTTGTGGCTAGACGATCGCATAGTTTAATAAGATTACGCTAGTTAGGAAGATTTCTTGACTGCCTTGTAGGAGCGGGAAAGCTCCCCTCGATTGAACATTATTTGCAGCATGCATGGGCCACGGAGGACCGGCCGTGAGCTCGGCCGCGTTACGCCCGAAGATATTCCTTGTTTTTGAGGGGATAGGTGCCGGCCGGCTATTTCGCTCATTATTCATGGAGACTATGGATGCTGAGGAGGACAGATGCAGATAGGCTACCTAGCTAGTTCCCGGTAGTAATCTCCCGTGAGGAACTCAGCAAAAGGAATAACTTGCTTGCTTTCGTGCGTGTGAAGATTTGAAAGTTGCAGGGTGTTATTATAGGCCAAGTACTTACAGTAAGTAGTCGCTCGGGGTTTCTGTGGAGCCCGTGGATCGATCCGAAGTTTGCCCTCCCCCGCCTTCTCTTTTTGGTTTGGGGGAGAGAGCGTGAACGAATATACGAATGCAATAATGCAACTAGGAGAGTAGATAGACTACACCGTAGATAGATAGTCTGGGTGAAAGATGCCGGTCTGTGACAGGGGTGCTTCGGGAGAAGAGAGGGGAGGGGAAATCCCCATTTCCAGGATACCAGACAGCCGCCCCTCCCGTCGCCTCGATTCAAACCACCCTAAGAGAATGGGGACCTGATCCACCCGGACTGACGCGAGATCAATCCATTCCCTTGACAATAGTACCCAGAAGGTACAAGTGGTATGTGAGTGGTGCAGCGGGTGCGGTGACCTTTTCCGGTTCATATCACGTGATGGGCTGAGACGGGCTGCTGATCGCCCGATGGGGAAGGAGACGGATGGCGAGTGTCGGGCACCGCCACTCGCTGATGGTCCCCGAACGGTAAGTTAGTACGTAGGTAAGTACTTAGTACTACTGTACTAGTAGTGGGAAGAGGGCTAAGAGGGGCAAAATGAAGGAGGAAAGGAGGATTGAGGAAATTTTTTCACAAAAAGGTAGAGAAAGTAGGGTAACGAATCAAGCAATGCAGCAGCTGCAGCTCGTTAGTAGCTGCAGGCCCTCGAATTATAAAAAAAAAACGCTGTCGCAAGTTCTAGATATTTAGTATAGTACGTATATTGTAGACTGCTTACTTTTAGTCCGATCTGCCCCCAACAAGCCACACTTTCTTTAGATCTGTGACCCATAAAAAAATTGAATTGCAATTAAATGAAAATAGAATAGGATGGGAAAAATAAAAGAAGAAAAATAAAAAAAAACCATAAAATTCAAATATTGCAGAAAAATGGAATGAAAATGGTAGGCCATTCCAGAGACACCCAAGAGTTCAACGACAGGGGATCGACGATCGTGATTCGAAGAAATGCAGCCGACCCGGCGTGCATATTTTGCACTAGAAGGACTAAACTAATCGGGGGCCCCAGTTTGAAGCGCCACCTTACGCTGGCCTGCAATTTGACTGGCCTTCCAGCAAGCAAATCCCGAACGGCCACACTTCGGGATTTGCCTCTTCGGGCCTGGATGATGATTAAGCCGTGCAGGGTTCCCTTCAGCTGGAGGTCATTGACGCTGTGTATACCAGTCCTCCCCGTCCGTCGATTTGCATTAAAAAGGGCCTGATACATTGGCTCCCCTGAGTCAGGGAACTTCGATGGCTTTATTGTCTGTGCCATTGTTAATATCGTCGTCGTCGTTGTCGTCGTTGTTGCGGTTCAGACGGGTTTTGGCTTGGGACGCTTCCCAGTACTAGTCAAGTCAAGTCGGTCAAGGAATGCTTTGCCTTCGGACGCCAACGGTAACAGTAGTACACTCCGATAGGCGTTTCATGACCTTCTCCTCGGGCAGTCGCGCTCGTTTCGTCCACCTTCGTTGTTTGCCCAAAACCCGCCGTCATGGTTCGAGAGGATCCCGAACAGCCTGGTGGAAAGAATGGGATCCCGGCTGTGGCACTGGCAGTTACACAGTCCAAGACCGCTAGACCCACGGTGGTCCGCAAGAAGTTCGCCAAACCTCCCGTCAAAGTAGCTTGTTTGGCCTGGTAAGTACACTGGCCCCCCCGTCCCCTTCCATCCTTCCTTCCTTTTACCTTCCTCTCCGTGAGTTGATGGACAAGGATGGATACATACACACCTTGTCCTTTTTTGTTCTCGTTTGCTGCGGCAAACCCATCTTATCATGCGGTTGGCTATTGAGACGGGACTAATCGGTATCTATTTCTATCAGTCGTGCTTCAAGAACACGTTGTGATGGTCAAGACCCGTGTACCAATGTAGGTATACCTCCTCATTTCTGGATTGTCAGAGCTTCTCAACATCCTCCCGCGGGTGTTCTTTCCTATCTTCATGCTGTGGACCCAGTCTCTTCCCTCTTTCCCCTCTGCAGCTGCTTTTCGGCTCACCGGGCTGTTGTTGCTCTCCACACCTTGGTTCTCAAGCTTTTGCCTTCCCTCGATCACCCAGAGAACGTGTGAGTGCTAATCTGCTTGTCTGGAACTACAGTGTGCCAGTAGGAATAAGAGTTGCTCTTATCTGCCCAGTAAGCGGGGTGGCCCAAGGAAGAAGAAGAACAAGCCATCTGCAGCTGCAGAACCTCAACACGATGGTGTCGAGGATCCTACCATTTTCCCGGTGTCTTCGGGATTTGACGAATGTGCGGTCAGACCCCAGTTATAACCCCAAGTTCATCCACTAACGCACGTTTAGCATCCGGGTTGTTTGGACAAATCGACGTTTTGTCAATTCCGGGGGCAGGGTTGAGAAGCCTAGACTTCCCCTCTGATGTCCACGCCATGTTTGCGGATCTTTTTGTTCCAGGCACAGAGAACACCCATGGTCTAGAGCCGACCCCTTCCCCATCAAATATACCGTCTCGGGCCTTGGTCAGGACGTACGGCAGTGAAGATGCTCTGTGGGTGCTGACTCGTCTCATTAAACTTTTTTACAGCATTCTGACTTGAGATTACAGCCTTAACGCATACTATGACTTTATCCATAATTATTTCCCCATACTTCCACCAAGGGTTGACCCCCCGACTCCTGATCGGCCCCTGGATTGTGCTGGCTCGTTCACGGATTCCCCGTCAGAACAACCCATCCTCATCTATAAACCGAGGTCCCCTTTGAGTCTGGCGATTTCGGCGATTCTGGCCCTGGTACCACATCCAAACGACCCAGAACCATCGGGGCCTGCGTCCGTCATCCGCCGTCGCACTTTTGCACACACATATGCCCAGCTGGCAAATACAGCTATCGAAACCGATTGCGAGCTTCACGCTTCGTCCACCTACCCTTCAGATGCATTGACAAACGAACGGCCTCTCATTGATCGAGAGTCTTTTCATCCCAAGACTCCAGTGGAACTCGAAAGTCTGCTCGCACTTCTCGTACTTTCAATTTACGAATACAATCAACGAGGTAACCTCCTCAAGATGCGTTACCGTGCGGGTCAGGCTCTGGCCATAGCGTTGGATATGTCTTTGCATTGTCTTGGGGAAGAGTTCGACGAGTTTGCGGAGGCTCGGAGGAGAGCTTGGTGGATGACTGTATGTATCCTTTCTCTGCTTCGCGCCATGGTCACTAATATACGTGTGTTCGCAGTATTATTGCGTCTTGCAGGGCTCTATCGTCAGCACTACAGTAAGTATTTTCTCGCTCCCCTGACAGTGCGAATGCTAATGTCCGCTTCACAGCCTTTAGCTATCATCGCGAATGACCCCCAATTTGTCACTCCTTATCCACGGTTTTCGGCCGATCCTGATGTATGTCTTCCTATCGGTGGAAATTAAAAGCTGTGTTATGCGGATAATTGGCTTCTAACACGCTGTACAGGGCTGGTCAGTATTAATACAAGCTCAGCAAGTTCTTGTTTCAGCAACACAATTCATCATCGATCTAAATAAATGCCTATCCACGAGGACCAACATGTCATACATATTTGAACGGATGCAGCAACTTGATGCATGGGCGAGCTCTGTTCTGGCACAATCAAATCTACTTCCAATCTTGCCTCAGTCTATGGCATGTGGCGGGGAGATAGAGCTGACAACAGCTCAAAGTATTCGTGCAATATCACGAATAAAGCTGTCAAGGTGTGTATTCTTTGGGCCCCTCGACGACGGTCTTGTTACTAATGGTTCCCTAGCGCTCAAATTAAAGTGCATCGGTTCAGGGCATTCTCAGACTTACCAATTTTCGTTAAGAAACACTGCGATCTGACATCGGCTAATTCGAACAACACCATGCCGAACAATGCTTCCAAGAATTCCAAATCGCAAAGTGGGATTGCAAATATCGGATGTTCGTGTAGCCTGGAGCCGTTTCAACAGGCACCCAGTGACTACTCATCGTCGTCGTCTTCCGTGGCGTCAGATGTTCCGCAGTACCCTTTCATGCAAGGATTTCCATACAGCATTCAGCATTCGGCGAAAACGTGTCTGAGAGCATCCCTTCTCATCTCACGCATGTTCTACAGCCTACCCCTGCCGCAACCGCTTCTTGATGAATGTCAGACTCAGCAGGGGTTGCACATACTGCCGGATCAGTTACCACGAACTATGCCGTCATTTGCGTGCTGCCTAATGCAGGGCAGCTATGCTATGCTGATGATCTATTACAAAGCGCGCGGGGAGAAAAGGTCTCCAGAAAGTGGAACCGACAATACCCCCAACCCCTCGGACAGACTCATCGAAGAAATCCGCAAGGGGCTAGAGCGAATAATTGCTACTGTTACAAACTATGCGATTGCATTTGAGGCGTTAGATGGGATGAGGGGTAAGTCCAGTGCAACCTCAAATTTATTGACAGTGACTGACCTAGTACGTATCTGCAGATGAGATTGAGTGTGCATATCAAACGGCGTTTTCTCAAGCGTAGGCCTGCTTTTGTTTTGGGTGGACCCAAGAGTTCTATTTATTTCCATAAGAGTCTTCC